AAATGCCAGAGTTTCTGAGCCAATATTTTGGTTGCTAAGCTAGAGTGTTGTTAAGTGAGTGTCACCACATTTTACAAGTTGGCCACTCCCACTCAGTCACATGACTGCCAAGCCACTCCCACCTGGTCATATGGCTGGCAAGCCACTTCCACCCAGTCACATGGCCAGCAAGCCACTCCCACAAAGCAGGCCACACCTACAGAAGAGGTTCTAAAATTTTTTGAAAGCCACCACTGGCTTGTACCCAGCCAGTATATTCTTTAAACTTCAAAGTAAGTGGGATAGTATCCCTTACAACAAAAAACGACAAAGAGAAGACATCTCTCACCAAGTAGATAACTCCTACAACAAGAATTTTGCAAAGCCAACTCTTTAAAAAAATATTTCTGATTTTTGTTACTGTTTATTGGACCCAAATGTTTAGGCTTTTAGATCTAAATAATGGAAATGATGTACAGTATAATGAAATGTGAGCAATGTGTGTTTTAATTCTGTTCCTGGAGTAGCTGTTGTATATTCCCTCATGGTCATTCAGAATACTTCAAATAACTTTTGACTGGATCTCCCATTCTTCTTCTCTGATTTTGAACTGGCAAGCCGCAAATTCACCAGGTGCCTTTTTCTCTTTTGACCAGCAGATTGTGGAACAGATGAAGGCTCACCACATCTCAAATCTCAAATTTCTAGCACTTTAGACAGGCTCTTCTGCTTCGTCTTCTTAGGGTTGGTTCTTCTCTTTCATCTCCTATTAGCAGGGCTCTGGTTTCTATGGAAATGTGCACCCAAGAAGCCTCCTGGAGAAATGTATCTAGATGGAATCAAGTGGGACCATGGAGAATAACATACTATTTATGCTAAATATCCAGCTGAAATGTTATATATCTATGTGTACACAATTTGCTTGTTTTAAATAAAAAATAGCTTTTACGTTCCAATGACGTACACCTGGTACAAGATAGTCCTTGAGTTACGACCACAATTCAGCCTAACATTTCTGTTGTTAAGTGAGTTTTGTCCCATTTTACGATTTTTCTTGCTTCAGTTGTTAAGTGAATCACTGCAGTTGTTAAGTGACTAAGATAATTGTTAAGTGAATCGTTGACTTTGCTTGCCCGAAGGTTGCAAAAGGGGATCAAATGACCTTGAGACACAGCAACAGTCATAAATATGAATCAGTTGCCAAGCGTCTGAATGCTGCAAAGGTCATAACTGTGAAAAACAGTCGTAAGTCCCTTTTTTCAGTGCCATTTTAACTTTGAATGGTCACTAAATGAACTGTTGTAAGTCCAGGACTACCTGTACTTTACAAGTTACTGCTAATTATATCTAATAGATATTTGGTATTCCAGGAATGCCAGTAACATGTCCAAAGCAGATTTGCTGCATCAAAATCATTCTCCATCTATTTTTCAAGTTAAAATTAGATTGCTTTATGAACTGGTTTAATTGTACTATTCTGATGTGATGAGGACCTTCTTCTCTACAAGTGTTGAACTGGTATCCTGGTCATGTCTGTTAAAGAGCAAATGTTTCTCACATTTTTATCTCACCAGTATGTTAGATAATTTCTCTTTGTATTCGTTTCATAGCTATTAATTTTTATTGTCTGTTTATTTGACGTTAAATTGTAGCTTTAACTTGCAAATGTTAAAAGAATTTTCTATAGTGACATAATGTGTAAATGTTGTGCATAAATAAATACCTCCAGCCATTATATCATTATTTATTTGTTATTATTATTAACGGCTCAGAATCCTTTGGAGTTGGGTGGTATATGAATGTATTATTATGATTCATCGCATAGTCAACCAGATATTCAGACTGAATTTGGCATTTTTTCCATCAATCAAATCCTTCCCAAGGATCTGGGATAAGCAGATGTGGATTAGTGTTGTTATTATTATTACATACTAATGGGGAATGTTTCTGTCTCTTCTATTTATTTAACATCTAAGTGATGTTAGAAGCTATTGAAAATTGAGGGGTGGGGAGATTAGGTTGGTGTAAGGAATACAGTGCTGACTTTAGGAATCAGCCATTCATATCCTTTTTTTTTCCCCACAGAGAAACCTTTCATGTTAAACAAGAAACGTAAAAATAATAATAATGTAAAACTAGCTCTCCAAAACAGAGACTATGATCATTCTGCTTCAAGGATCCAAACACTACTTTGTGCCCAGAGTAAACTGCTTGGGCAGTTTATATTATCATAGTTGAAAATACCAGACAAGCAATACTACACATCTACTTCAATTGTTCTGGCTTCTAAATTATAGTTGGATTAATTTCAATGTACTATATTCAGTTTTGTCCTCTTTCCACCCGTCTTTAAAAATAAAAAGTCAGTGTCAATATATTAGAAGAAAGAGGGAAAAAAGAATACCAGTGATAACTTTTATTGACTCAGATAATGAATCAATGAAGGGATTATGGGCATACAATTTCATCATTGTTCAACTGTCCAAAAGAAGAATATTCAAAGCTATGATTCAGGAGTTGGCTAGAATAAATATAGAGCTAGAGATTGTATACAGGTTGAAAGCCAGAATTACTGTGTATTACGTCTCAATTATCTGCAAGGTCTATATAGATGTTAATTTACTGCACTCACTTGTTGACTTTGGCATAATTTTCTGTGTCGATAAATTGGGTTTGACATGTCACAGAGGACTTAACATGATTGTCTCTCTGGAAGTTCTATTCAACATAATTTATTTTTACTTAAGCTTTCAGTCATTCTTTGTTGAGCACAGCAAAGATGAGTAGGCAATGTGTCAGCTGCTCTTATAGCATCACATTTACAAATAGGAATAAAGATAATGAGACAAGAAGAGACAGGACATTCTCATTAAGAAACAAAGATGAAGTTTTTCCAAGAAACAGAGAATGGGAGAATTTTCCCATCTATTTTACCAGGAAACATAGATAAGGCAGGCTTGAAAAGTCAGTGCCCTCCTAAACATACCCATGCGCTCCCAAATCCATTCGTGATGTCACTTTTGTTGTCCAAATTCATGGAGACTTAACTCTAACCCTTACTGGATTTGCTCCCCAAGGAGATTTTGCCTTGTATTTTATCAAGAAAAGTAGTTGAGGCAGGCTCAAAGAATCAATGCCCTAAGCATACCCATGCACAGCGAATCCATTGGCAATATCCATTTTACTGCCCAAATTCATGGTGACTTAACACTAAGCCAATTTGCACTCCCCATGGGATTTTCTAGGAAATGTAGCTGAGGCAGGCTCGAAAAGTCCTTGCCCTCCTAAGCATACCCATATGCTCCGAATCCATCGGCGATATCAATTTTACTCTCTAAATTAATGGAGACCTAACCCTAACCCTAAATGGATTTGCCTGCCAATGAGAGTTTCCAATGTATTTTTCCAGTACATGTAGAGATAAGGCAGGATCAAAAAGGG